TTTTTTCGATTTTTGTGATGCCTATAACTTTTGAAGGGTAGGTCGTAGAAAACGCGGCAACCATTCATTTTGCTCAGAATTTTATGCTCTTTAAGGTGGTAATGTTAAAAATGAATTATTGAAAAGCCTTTTGAGACCTGAAAAATAGGGTTTTGGGTGTTTTAGAAGCCTTACTCCCTTAAATCATCTATGAAATTTTGATATAGGATGCACTTGATAGAGCTCTTCATTGACTATCTGAATCACTATTTGGATTTGAGTTAGATACTTGTTATTATAGAAAAAAATGAAAAATATGTTGTTCTTATAATTTTGTCCACCACTGTAGATTAATAGAATCTAATTCTGATTGAAATCAATTAATATTTTGATAGATGAATGTAGTTAATGATTTATATTCAATAAAATATTTCAATTCATCAAAAATAATTTTAATCTCACTAATTCTTGTTGATATTATATCATCTCGTTGATAAAAATACATTGAACAAGCTAATTCAAATAATTCTTATCCATTTTCTGTAATAATTGTTTTTGTATGTTGAGATTCTTTTTATTTAATATGATATTGAATTCCATTGAGTAATGATTCATTTAATATAATATGTAATTTACTAATATAGATATTTTGTATATTCTATATAATAATTGATATTGAATTATTTTGTTTTGTTATTAATAATAAATAAGATTCATATGGATTTAACGCATTAATATCAAGATCATCATTTAATTGTTACTAATTAGAAATAATATAAAATCGATATCGTTGATCAAAATAAGGAAGAAAATAATATATCACAAAGAAAGAAAGCTAAAGATGATTCAAGAATATCATCATATTCAATTAATTCACGACCAAATGATGTAGCAAGTACACACACGAGTATCAAGTAGACCATCATGATTAATTAATGTTGAATTTTTTCGTGCTTCACTAAGTAATTGTGAAAGATGATTGAGTTTTGTTTAGGTAAATTTAATCGATTATTGAGAGGATTTTCATCTGGATGAAAAATAGAAATATCACGTGATAATCTTGAACGTAAATTTGAAGTTCCTTTATTAGATATTTTTATTACATTTTGATTTATTAATTTTGATTCGGCAATTTGACTTTCAAGTTCATGAATATTTTCATTACATCTTTCTAATGCAGCTCATTTTAACTCAAGATCTTTTTTATACTAGAATAATATGTATTAAGTGAACTTGATTCTGATGGTAAATCACGTACAATGGTTCCAATTATTTTTGTCATTTTGTTACTTAATTCCAATGAAGAAAATTTTAATTCTGATTCAAGAATAAAATCTCGTGTAATACAAATATTTTTTTTTTGTAGAGCATTGTAAGATAATCATTAAATGTCCATTGTAAACTAATCCATTCGAGAAGTGTAGCAAAATATCGAATTGATGTCATCATACCTATGTCTGTCGTTGTATTAATCATATGTTCAATAAGTGTACGTAAATCTTTTTGTGTTGATCGTGTGGGAAATAATTGTGCACGTCCAAATGACCAAACGAGACCACTATTAAAATGTTCAAGTAAATGTTTACGAAATTGATATTTTGCATCAGTAAATGATTGAATCATGAAGGGTGTGGGTGTAGAGTATGGATGTGGGTTGAGAGAAGATCTGCTCAGACCCACATCCACCCCTAGAGAATATACTGAGTTAAGGGTACCCAAAAAAGTACCCAGTTACCAGTATGTCACAGGAACTGTTGGGTGCCAAAGTACTTATAGGTACTTTCAAGTATTACCTTAGTGATACTTTGGAAGATACCCTGCTACAAAATGTATAGTAACTGGGCACTTGAAGACACTGATCAGATACTCAATTGGGTACTATTGTACAGTATTTCTAGGTACCTTCAGCATGCTCTACAGAATCAAATTGAATTAGGTTTCTTTGTAAAAAAAAGTATGTTGAATCAAATCGAGTCAAATCAATCTTCCACTACACCAAATGCTTTCATTTCTCAGCAATGACTTTCAGCCTACATAATCAAAGGATAATGAATGAAAGACTTCAATTTTGAATGATGGTTTGGCTCAATTTGAAAAAAAAAACAATCCATTCAATATCTCAAATATTTCTAATAATTGCATATGTCATCGATGTGATTTATCTCTGAAAAATTTAGCTGTTTCGATAGGAATTGAACTAACTCATGACTTTTGAAAATTTTCTATATCTAATTTGAATTATTCTTTACTTCAATAAATCTTCGAAAATTCGATTCAATTAAATTTTGTGTAAAGATGATCGAAGATCAGATAACGATTTATACAATAAAATGCGTTTACAAATATTCATCTGTTTTTTTTACACTAATTAAAATATTCGAGCATATATTTTGAATATCGATGTTGAAATGACTTTCTAAATTTATATTCAAAGCAATTTCTACCATCTTTTATTACTGAGCAAGACACATGTCCTTAAACAAAAATCAAATATCGTCAGGTAGAGTGTAGGTTTGTGTAACGACCAGACCTTCAGTCACACAATGACATCCACATTCCATATCCACATTCATCTACACTCAGATCCTGAAATTCAATATAGACAAAACTTAATTCTATTAATGCTTATTTATTTCATGTTACCTATGATTTTATTAAAATCTTTCTCAAGCAAAAACGAGTTTACATATACTTTTTTATTCAACTTTTAAATATAAAATCTTTTTTTTTCTAACAAGGATATTTGATTTTTAAATATTTGATTAAACCTTTTGCCACTGGTACACTACTTTCATATAAAGTAGTTACAGTTGGATTATTTAATTGTGTATTATCTCGTACATATGCAATTGTTGCCACATTATAATAAAGATTACTTTTTGATATATCTGTACCATTGAATAACCATGTTTTACCATTATCAAATGTTTTCACTCTAGTATAAGCAATAAACATACCATTTCCTTTCAATGACATACCAGTCGTGAGAACTTGAGCAAGTAATTGACCAGGAACAGAAAGAGCAATAGCACGAAGTTTCACAGATACTGTACGTAAAACATCATATTGTGTAATTATTTCACGAAGAATATCATTAAAAACCACTGTTCCTCCATTAATTATACCAATAGTTGTTTTATGTGATACTGTTAATAGTAACAAACTTTCACAGATTGCAGCAGTTAAAAGTGTTACAAAACTTTTACAAGATCGTGCTCTACCATCTAATTCAATATCGAGTGGTAGACATGATACAATTTCATTTGGTTCATAACCTAATACTTGAAATCCTTGAATACCTAAATTAAACCAATAATTTGCTACTGTTGCTGTATTTTTTTCTTCTGGTATTTCAGATGTTACTGGTGCTAAAGTACTATAAATACGAAGGTGTTTTTTATCCAAATTATATGCACAACGATGTATATAAACAGTAAAAGCATTAATATCTGCTTTATAAATTGGTATATATTTTGTTCCTCTTAAATAATAATAATTTTCATGTTCATGTCCACCAATAATAAGATCAATTTGTGGAATATTTAAAGCAAGTTGTATATCTGTTGTTATAGATAAATGTGTTATAGCAACAAGTATATCATATGTTCCATTTGGAAATAATCTTAAAAATTCTTTAACATGATTAACTAATGATGATTGATTAATTATTCGAACATAATCAGCAGCTTTTTCAATAGTTAAACCAATGAAAAGAATTCGAATAGTATCAATAGTAATTATTTTATGTGAAATACTCGATCCAAATGTTTGATAACTATCTTGTCGAAATATATTTGAACTAATCCAAGTAAATGTTGATTCATTCATTCGAGTCAATAAATCTTTTTCAGATAAGTCAAATTCATGATTTCCAAATGTTACAAAATCAACTCCAACAGTATTCATTGTTGCAACCATGTGTTTTCCATTGAAAGTTGTTCCATTAACTTTTGCTAAACTTAATACTGATGGAGAAAGAAAATCACCAGCAAGAATTGTATAAGTATTTGAATTTTCTTGTTTTAATAATTGTCGCATATAAGCAACACGTGCAAAACCACCTCTTCGTCCTCCCTGAAGTGGTATTAATTCATAAACATCATTCATTTGTAAGAAGATCCATTGAATATATCGACCATCATTTGGTAAACGAATAGGATAACCAATAATTCCATTTGCAACTGGAGAAATATTTGGAGAAGTATTGGAATTACGATATAAACTAGCATAGATGATGGTTAAGATTAGAAGACATACAATGATAATACTCAAAAAAGTATATAGGAGACCATGTGGTAGAAAAAATATTTTCAATCGATCGATATTTATACATGCCATGAGTATGATTCAATCTAATAATAAAGATATAAGAATCAATTAAAATAGACATCTATATATATAATGTTCAGTGTCTGTATGTCTATGCCGGGTCAAAGGGCGAATTAGGCTATACGGGGGTAATGCTATTAAGGAGAAAGACTGTAAGGGTAAGACAATAAGAGGATAAGGTAATAGGGTGGTAAGGCTATTAAGAGAGGAACGCTATGAGAGAGTAAGGCTTCAAGAAATATAAGGCTAGAAGACCGTAAGGCTACATGGGCTATTAGCGATCTTAGGATACCACGTCGTAGAGCTTCTACATATATCATGTTCAGTGTCTGCATGTCTATTACCGAGAGAAAGGTTAAAGTTTCGAGGCCGTTCGTTAAAAAAGTAAAAAAGCTGCCGTGCAGTATCCACAGGTTCTCGCTAGTAGCATTATATTTATTTGAGGATAAATATTACAACTAGTAATGATGAAAAAGTTATAATGTGTGATAAGACAGTAAAAGACAAAAGTTTCTTTTATTCTATCAGTCTTTAATATTGTCTTAAATAATATACATGATAGACTATCAATATTTGAATGTCTTTTATTTGTTAAATAGGACAATAAAAAAAAGTGAAACGAAAATTCTTAAACAGACTTTGAAAAGTATACGATGGGTTCGTTCTGTTCCAATTTTGAGCGCCTCAACGTTCATTGGATTTGAAGCACTCAAAAACTGTATACTATCAATCTCTCGGTTACATTTCAACTGCTCGAAAACTATCGAAGTTCTGACTACTTAAAAAAGAAGCGGTTTTGAAATACTTTTGTTTTGTATGTGATGATCTTAGCAGAACTATTTACATTAACCGATGAAAAGTAAGAGCGAAATCCATCAGCGTTCTTGACGAAGATTCCGTCATAATAAATTGTCTCGTTTTGGATCCTTGAAAAAAAAAATTCTAAATACTAATTTTTGTACTTTATCACAATAATCAGTTGACTATCTAATGTCATATTTATCAAAATAAGCTCTTTATATAGTATCTAGAATTCAAGCAAAGCTTTTCCATTGACCAGAGAAGTGCAACAGTTGTGGTTTTCTTAAATAAAACAAAAAATGATATGTTTAATTTTTAAAAATTAGTAGCAAATGTTAAAATAACAAAAAATAATCGTTCAACTTTTATCTTTTTGTAGGAGTTGAAAATATTATATTCATAGAAGAATAATAGTTCAATTCGACGACTCGAGAATGAGACATCAATAATTAGATAAAATTCTTTGTATTATTGGTTCTCGTAGAAGCGATTATTTATATGGCTGAAAACTGCGCATCAAAATTCTTATCGAATAGTCATTTCCAAGCGAGACAGAAAAGCTTGATTTAAATTATTAGTTTTCAATTTTCTTCTATTGTTGAAGTTTTTACATGTGCTTCTCTTTTTGAAATGCTTTGGTTACGCTAATTTTTCATTATATTCAACTATTGCTTTTTCTTGTCTAGTATATATTTACAAAATTTGTTCTTGTATAAGAAATAAGATGTAATATTTTACAAACAATATCTGCTCAATTTTCCTCTACAATTAATATTTTTCAACAGAGTCTGCTTTAGAAAAGTAATGTGAGTTTACAAAGTCTTACCGATAAAAATGAATATCATGTGAAAATCTTTCTGAAGATATTTAATGTCTGTGTACAAAACATGGTAAGTATTTGGCTAACCCACATATTTTAGATCAATGAATATACAGGGTGGTCCATAAGTCACCGGGCAGTCTTTTATTTCGGATAACTTTTGATAGGAATAAGATATGGACCTGCTGTTTTCACCATTCGAAAGAGCGATATTCGGACTATCGATCGATACAATATTCGCTAAGACAAGAGATGCTTTTTTATAGAAGCTTTTCAGTTGACATCCTTTTTTCTGTATTTTTTCAAGTGAACCTTCGAAAAAAAAGTGATAATTTTATAACGAAAAATGGGTGATTTAAGCTACATTTTTTGCGAAATTTGAGACCAAATTATTGCGGAAATTTATGAAAATATTCAGAAAAAAGGATGTCAACCGAAAAGCTTCTATGAAAAAGCATCTCTTATCTTAGTGAATATTATATGGATCGATAGTCCGAACATCACTCTTTCGAATAGTGAAAACTGCAGGTTCATATCGTGTTCCTATCCAAAGTTATCCAAAATAAAAAACTGCCCGGTGACTTATGGACCACCCTGTACAACAATCAAGTTCCACGATTGTTCTTTTTTATTATACTAGGCATAGTAGGAATGTTAGAAAATGTTATGAATCAATTTATTTCAATACATTTGTCTTTTATCATGTTAGTCTTCGTCAATGCTTACTATGATATCTGATTACTTATCCGTGTCTTACACAAGCAATGAAAAAAAACATATTCGCTTACCAAATTTACTGTATAGAAATGTCGAGAACGATGGTAAGTAACGCACGAGAAATCGATAGAATACCTGTAAAGAGCGCAAGTAAATGGAATGAGAGAATCCAATTATAAAGCACGGATATAACCTTTTTCTATATGCATATATTGCAAGTGTAAATTTTTTTTTTGTTACTACTCTATACCAAAAAGTAATGCAATGAGATTTATTAACTTACAAAATAAAAAACAAATTTATGGATCCATTCTATAAACATTGATGATTTGATTAGTAGTCATGTATGAAGAACGGTTTGCATATTAAAAACAATACTACACATACTCAGGTCTCTATTAAAAAAGTAAGATGTAGCGGATGTGTCTGAAACTGAAATGTTTTTATTATCAGAATAGTTAAACTATTCAAGGATTAAATAGTTATAAGAGAATCCACCTTTCCCCACCAAACATTTTCTTTTTTTTTTTTGTTTGGTAAGTTCATTGCAATACTCTCTATCTATTGTGTAAATTCAAAGAAAATTCAATAAGTGTAATTTTCTACATGTTTTTTCTTGAATTCAATTATTAAAATAAAAAACATGAATTTTCTTTTTCTCCTTTTCTGTTATAATTCATATCTGCACCCTGAAGCACTAACAAAAAAGAAAAATATTTGATTTATTTATTGTATCTATGGAACAAGAGCAGGAAATATTTGCATGACGTTATCGTCAACAAACAACTACATTAGGAAGATTGCTTTTATTACAAAATGCATATTTAGATTTGGATTATTTTGAAGAACTTAATAAAAGTAAATTTAAAATTTTATTTTCTAATATAATATGAATGAAAATTTTTAAGCTCTTATTGCAATAGATGTATTCGAGGATATGGATGTGGGTGCAGGCTGTGAGTTGTGCGGTGTGGATGTAGGATGTGGGGGTTCTTCTCATCCACATCTACATCTGATCATACTTTGCACCCACATTCACACCTTTTCTGTATCCTATAAACTATGCTCTATAAGATGGCAATAATGAGTTAGTGAAATGATGACTTTGAATTCCTGGCTATCGAGGTTGCATGTTACACGTTTTATGTTTCAACAAGATCGTTATTCATTTATTGACGCACATTGTACGTCATTATTTTTATCTTTTATGATAACAACACTAATGTTTATTCTAACTCAATGTAAGAACCATTCAAGATAAGGTAGGATTTCAAAAATAGCATCTTACTTCTATTCTTAAACGTCATCATCATCTTTTTCGTATTCGTTGTTAAATATTTGTTGACTAATAAATGCGTCATATATAGTCAAATAAATTTTATCAATATAGAACAAACAGGTAGAGAACTAAATATGACGTATATTCGTATATAATATATAAAGGAGTACGTATAAACAAGAGAAGTAAAGTAATTAACTATTATTATGGAAAGTAAATATGATATTGAAGCGACTCCTGTGATGAAATCGTCTGATTTTTCATCAAACGAACAAGAAAATTTTATTAAACGCAAGATACATTCTATTGACAAAAAACTAGCATTACCATGTGTAATCCTACTATGCATTGCAGTGATTATTCTCGTTTTCGGCATACCAATAACTCAAGTGATTATTGGATCTATATATTTTAATTCATGTCCTCTTGACAATCGATTACCCATATATCTTGTCATTGCTGGTATCGGTACATTAATTTGTTTAACTTTTGCCATCATAAAGGTAATACTGATCTTAAATATTTGATATATTTAATGAATTCTTCTTTTTTTTGTATTAGAATTACGGAAAAAAGTCAAATTGGTGGACATTTTTCTTGTTCAAATCAGATACATTGTGTCTTATTTGGTTTATAACTGTGAGTCAAAATTTATTACAGATTTTTCAAAATTATTGTAAATAATCTGAATGTTTCTAATTTAGGGAACTGTTTGGATAAGTCATGCTAAAAAAAGAGTTCAATATTCAAATCCTTATGATACAATAACTTATTGTGAACATACAGTAATTACTTGTGTCACTGTAACACTAGTCTTTAGTTATGGAATCGTTATTGGTTTGCTTGGTTATCATGTTGAAAGTTAAACATAAAATATATTTTTCACTAGATTTTTAATTTATCTTAATAAAACGATGATTTATTATTTTGAATATATTACAATTTCAAATAAAGCAAAATATTTATTGATTGATAAACAATTCGATATTTTTATCCTAAAAAATCTTATGACGAAGTGGGGTGTGGCGATGCATGTGCGTTTGGATGTGGGAGACTGCGTGTGGCTGTGGATATGGATATCGTGTTACAACATTCTTAGGTACACTCACACCCTTTCAAAGTAAAATTAATATAATGTTCGTGATCGCCAATGTCAATAACCTATAAATCACCGAAATTGGAACAAAAAAAACCTTTTTTGAAGGCCCCCTAGAGGACCACAGCTAAAAATTTTTTCCCTCAGGCAAAAAATAAAATAGCGTACTCTATGTTCAGAATTTAATTCTGGTTCTAACCATATTATTTTTTTTTCAAAAATATTGGGGAATGAAAAATGATCTTACTGTCACTTCTCTCTTCTACATGATTATACGAGAATACGAAAACTCGAAGACTACATTATCATTGGATACTATGAGAGATTTTTCTGTGCACTTCCTTTCCTATCAAACGAAAAAAGTGGCCATACCTAGTACAAGTGAGCTACACGTGGGGCAGACTTGTTGTTCTCGTCCTCTATTTTGATTTCGATACGGCATGTTTTCTCTTTCTTTTCTTATGAGGAGAGTCTCACCTCAATTGTACATATTTCACTATTGATAGCGAAAGTAAGTATATTGGCTTGATGCATAGCTAACCAGAACCAAAACAACATAATAAAACCCGATGGCATATTAAAAATTAACTTTGAACAAAACTTATTCGTATTTTTTTCGATCATACAGCTTTTATCCTTCATTTTAATAACAATTTAAAAATAACCCAAAATTTGAATAACTATGAAATATGCAAGCAATTTTAGCACGAGAAGGTAAGTGGTATTCATGAACGATTTACGTATCTAGTTTTGTTCTCTTTTTGTAAGCGTTCGTTTTTTCGAATGAATTTAAATGAAACTTTTTCTTATGATTATCTCATATTTTCGAAAACGCCTTCAAAGAACATTCACTGTCTATTTTGACTTCTCTTTCAAGTTATGAATGTCATAAGCTGAAAGACAGTAGAAATGGTATTATTTGTGTGCGAAAAGCTCAAAATCAAAATCCTCATGAATAAAAATATTTGTTTTCTCTCTTATGAAAACTCTTTTTCTGATTTAAAAAATGTCATAACAATTCAACCTATCATACATTCGTCGCCTTCGAATGATCAAACTGTGTTGTTAATTATTGAAAATAGTTGAAAAATGACGAGATTTTTTTGTAGACAATTATCATCAGTTATCACGATTATCTTCGTCTGTACATAAAAATCATTTGCTATTGTTTCATATATTGTCCGCTCATTGTTGACAAACCATGGAGAAAACAGTTTTTTTTTTCTGTCTAGGTCATCAACCATACTCGATCAAATGACTAGCAATTGAAATTAATTCTATTATTACGAATTTTGGTCGAATGATTTAGTTCTTTTTTTGAATAGAAATTTAGTGCTACATAGCAATGTCGAGAAAACGAAGCACATGAAAAACTTTTATTTTCAGATTCTAAGACATAGCTGACTTATCTTAGCCTATCATTTATCCTGATCTGAACTATGACAACAAATGGAGAACTAGTAGTCGAAGACTCTGATGTTCGTCTTCTTCGGGAAATGGGTTACACCCAAGAGCTTTACCGTGGCTTTTCTCCATTTATGTCATTTTCTTTCTGCTTCACTACCGTCAATGTTTTCATATCGATTACAATTGGATTTACTTATTCGTTGAATACTGGTGGATCAGGTGTGACCATTTGGTCATGGATCATTGGAGCTATATTTACCATTCTCGTCGGTCTCTCTTTGGCTGAAATATGTTCTGTGTATCCGAGTGCCGGATCTGTTTATCACTGGTATGTTCGTAGTTGTTGCCTATCAATTGGTTGACAATAGAAATACATTTTTGTTCGGCTTATAGGGCAGGTCAGTTAGTTTCCGCTAGTCGTGCACCATTGGCTTCGTTCACATGTGGTTGGATCAATTTCCTTGGGAATGTTGCAGGTAAAAAAAAGAGACGAAGACATAGTTAATACATTTGTCATTTTTAACATGTTGAAAGGAGATGCTGCATTTTCATCCGGTTTTGCTACGATTATTAATGCTGCGGTTATTCTTCAAGGGAATGATTCGCTAAGTATAGGTGCCCAAGTGGGCATTGGTATAGGAATTACTTTCGTATGGGCTGCTATAAATGCGTTGCGTATCGATCAACAAGGTTGGCTCAATAATCTTGCTGCCATGCTTCAAATCGGTTCGACCATTAGCATTGTTATCGTTCTTCTTGTCATGGCTCCTACACGAGCTACAGCTCATGAGGTTTTTACATCTACATACAATAGTTCTGGATTTCCATTTGGATATGTGTGCTTGATCGGTATTCTTTCGACATTGTTTTCATTCTCGGGCTACGAAGGTAATCGTTGTGGATTAGAATATATATATATATATATTAACTATCATGCTTGAATTTTTAAGCTGGTGCTCATTTGTCCGAAGAAACTAGACATGCTGGCCGTGCAGGTGAGTCAAAAAATCTCAAAGAAAGTGATTGTTCTAGATGAGTGCATATAAATCGGCACATTTTTCTCGTTTTTCAGCTCCAAAAGGAATCGTAGGCACTTGTGTATGCGGTGCCATCACCGGCTTTGCTTACACACTTGCTCTACTTTTTGCTATTCCGGATGTGGGATCGTTTGTGAAGAATAACAGTGGTGATAATGCTGTACCGAATCTAGCCATTGCTACCTATCAGCTTGTTTTATCACATACAGGTGTACTTGCATTAACAATTCTGATTATTCTCAATTTGTTCTTTGCCGGTATCTCAGCATTGACAGTGACCAGTCGAATTGGGTATGGATTAGTCATTCATTTTTTTTGTTTATTGATATTGTTAACTAACGAGATGTCATTGATTCTAGCTTTGCGATGGCTCGTGATGGTGCATTTCCATTTTCGACCTATCTCCGTTTGATATTCAAACTAACAAAAACTCCATTAATCAATGTGTTTTTTATTTTTGTTCTCGATTCTCTTCTTCTCCTACTTCAATTAGTATCGACAACTGCTTTCACTGCTATCATCTCCATTGCAACAATCGGTTATCAAACATCCTATTTTATGCCTATTTTCTTTCGATGTACAACTGCCCGACGCAGTTTTGTTCCCGGTGAATTCAGCTTAGGCCCATTCAGTATACCTATTGCTATAATCTCATCCATATGGCTTTTTATCACAACGATATTCATGTTCTTTCCCGCCCAATATCCAGTTACAAGTGGTAATATGAACTATGCAGTAGTAGTCGTCGGTGGCCTAGCATTGATTGCGGCAACCTATTGGATTTTCTTTGCTCGTCATTGGTTTGTAGGTCCAAAAAGAACCCATATGGATTCTGTTGAATTATCGTCAGGCCAAGAACTCACAAACGACAATGTGAAACCATTGTCATCACCCAGTATCATTTGTATTCGATTGTGAGCATCAATGCAATTTCTAAATGTATTTTAGCAGTGACCGCGAACAAAAATTCGATTTGTTCAAAAATTAGACATTGGAAAAAGAAAACCGATATGTCACTTTTTTCACTAATATATCACAGAAACATTTTATGATTTTTCTTGAACTGCTATGCAACGCTCGTTGATTACAAAATGTGATAAGACCATCAATGGTTCGAGTTAGACACACTCAGATGCGGCTGTGTGTGTGGGTGTACGTTGCTCTCCAATCAGCATGCTATCTCACACCCACCCACACCCTTTTTTGAAATATATTCTTAGATTGAGGATACATATGAGCCTGTTGTTTTCATTTTTACACAAATAATTGCAAGGGAAGAGAACTAACTGTTCTCTCACTATCATGGAAAGACAATAAAGAAAACTTGACCATCTTTATCGAACAACCAACAAGTTATGTCAAAATAGAGAGATGAAGAGCATGAGACTTTTGCCATTGATCGAGTGAACTCTTTTGTAATTTTCAATTCGAATCATTCATGCGTGCTCAACTCGTCAGATTCTTATCATTAGAAATCAATACTCTTGTCATCATTCTTTTCTCTAACAATTTTTCGATAAAAATATTGATCTTTTTTTGTCAATCTGATTATTTTCCCTTCAATTTTGCATAGAACAAATCGGTAACCATTTTTTTTTTGATCTGATAAAAGTGTTTCATTGGATACATTTAATAAAAGTTTTTCAATGTATCAAACATGGATCACAAATCCTTCATCGATTTTGACCTTACAACAGACAAGATCTATTGAAAATATGAATTTTATAAGCTGTTTTGCTTTTTTTTTTTTTACATATTTCAATCTATTTTATTTGTATAGAAACGAACAAAAAATAAGAATTAATAAAGATTCTGTAATCATTTTCTATTTTTAAAAACATCATTTAATTTTTAGAGTAAATTCAAATTTTGATCAAACTAGACTCATCTTTTCGAAATCTATCTAAATCGATATTTCGAATTTATTTTATTCAATGTATTGTTTAATAATAAAAAAAGATTTTCAAAATTGAATAAAGTCGTGAAAAAGAAGTACACAATCTGTTTTGATAAATCCAGAGATATATTTCAATATAAACTATTTCATACATCGATGGTATTTCGTGTTCTGTAGATCATTAAGAAAGAGCATCCATTCCGTTACTCTCACTTAATTATAATTGTTTATTTTTTTTTTGTCCACCAAAAGAGATACAACTAATAAATATGTCTGAAGCAATTGAAATCAATCTTAAGAACAGCAATTAATATGAAACGACAGTGAACATCACGATCGATTATTATTGCTGAAAAAAAAGGTAGTTGAAATGAATTTGCAATATGAAAAATTAGGAGAAGAGGAGAAGGACATGACGGTCTATCTGCTAATGGTAAAAATAAAGTTTAGACAGCGACCTCGTTCTATACAATGACCTCTAAGACAAGAAACATGTTTCGAGTAGCCGAGGATCAAAAAATATTTAGTTTGTCATGCCATTGCCGTTTTTGCTTAAAAAAATGGTTGATATATGTATGTAGGACACGAATGGATTGAATGTCTCGCTTAATTTTTATCCATTCTTTCTTTCACTTTTATTTAACAAGAAAAACTACACCCAGTCTACACATAATTTCATAGAAATGACATCGTCTAGTTTCGTTTTAGAAGAAACTATAAAACTAATTACTTTTATTGTATGTATGACAAGTATATGTATAGTTTTATTCTCCGTCGTCAACACTATAACGATAGAATACTCGATGTATCCTCAGTATGGAATTGATATATTGATTATTATGAGCAGTTCATTTCTCATTTCGTTTGAAGTCAGTACAAATAGAAACAGCACAAAGAAATATTTTGAAAAATGATCAGTACCTGTAGCGCTCAAGCCAGATATGGTGAGTATAGATCTGTAAATAGCATTGATTTCATTTTAACCGACATTTTTTCTATCTATTTAGATAAATAGTACATATTCATGCTTTATTGATCCGACCGATACTCGACGATGATCACTAAAGTACAAATCAGATATTAATTCTGCTCGTAATGATTTTATTTTTGCATAAGTTGGTGTCCAACTTAATTATTATATCAATATCCATCGTAATATTAATTTTTCTCATCATTCAATTTTTTCAATGGATGTTGACAGTGAACAACAAACAAAATAATAAAACTGAATCATTAGCGTGTTCTATCTACCGTGCTCAGTATTGTTTGCTGTCCATTCGATCATTGATATCACTAACAGCTGCATACAAAAGGACTTCTATTTGTGATAGTAGAACATTCTATCATGTATCGTGTTTTAAACGTAGTTAATGTATAAGTTATAATAAGTAAAAGTATGTCAGTAAATCGAAATCGAGTAGGAACGAGAAGAAGATGAAGACCAGCATTCTACTGAAAACTAGCTATCATTTGAAGAAAGATTTTATTTATTTCCGTAAAAACAATCGCACTGTGTCAGTTAATCACTGTATTACAAACTAAAAATCGTCAATCAATAATTCTATAATTTTCGTATTTGAAAATATTTTTGCTGGCAATGTTGTAATTAGACTGTACAAGATCTCTTGTTTGCCAAGATATCCAATTTAAGAGATCGATATTCACAAAAAAAGTAATTTCCATGGTGGCAAATTTCACCGTATAAAATATTATTAGACATTTTAAGGGTACTCTCCCTTTCCTGAGTTTTTCAAGAACGACTCTATCAAAAATTCTGAAACTTGAGGATGTGGGTGAACGTAAACCTTGCTTTCCGCTAAATCTCCGCTCACATCCATACCCATTTGCTTTTTGTCTTCTTCTGTGATGGAATTTGCAAAGATGTTGACATAATAAATAATGAAACAAAGTATTCGCTTCTGTGATATGAATTTCTTCTCATAGAAATTGCACAAATATAATATGTCTACAACAGACTTCTGAAAAATCGTTTAGCAAAAGTGCGAGATTTCATAGTATCTGCAATATTATTTTATGAAACTCATAATTCCTATTCGCATACTTCATCGGATATGTCCTCCAAATAAAACCTTTAAAATAAGTGTTTTTTTTTAATCATATTATTAACTTTTTTCGTTTAATCAATGATGCAAAGTCATGGGAATAACAACTGAATATTGTCTTTCGAATTTTAGTTCAAGGATTTGCCAAAGCTAAAACTTGTGAAGCCGTCAATTCACGTCTGTATAGATAAAACTCATCCAAAGCACCGTTGAATGAACCACCATAATTCGGTGTGCAGTAACTTGTCCGTCCATCATCATTACCAAATATAATGTACATGGGAGAACCAGAAGCTGCAAAAGAAATAGCACCTGTCGTCGCGACTTGAGCACCATTAATATATAATCGAATACCATTAGTTGAACTATATGTATATCCGATATGTGTCCAGCTATTTAATGGCAGAATAGGACCACTAGCACCAACCGTTCCACCATTCCATAACTGCGCATTAATATTACCAGTTGAGGACATTACTAAAACGTGGACACACCAACTTCCTGGCAAATATACGAAAACAAGGGATGAAGTCGCATAACTTCCGGTCGGTCTCGCCCATATAGAGATACTGAAAGGATTATTATTGATACCCAAAAAGTAAAATGGAGCATATGTGTAACTAACATAGGCTCCTGAACTGAATTGAATGGCTTGATTTACTCTACCTGTTATAATCGTTATAGTTCCTGACGCTGTCCCATTAATGCCATTAGGACCACCATCAATAAGAGAACCACTATCAAATGAGTAATAGACATACAAAGTAGCATCGTTCAATATTTCGGTATCATTCTTGGCTCGAGCTATATAGCTTACTTGATCCATGTAGCCATTGAAACCAGCTGCACTGCCTGGATTGAATGTAGCACCAATGGTTGTGGCACCTGACGATCCTTGATAGAGAGATGATCCCGTACGTGAGCCGTCAAGTACACCATTCAGCCACACTTGCTGAGTGAGAGTGGCCGCATTGTAGACGCAAGCAACATGAGTCCAGACATTCATCGTCAACGTCGTTACACCTTGTATATCGTTAAAATAGAAGGCGCAATATAATTGGTTATTTCGAGCCATGAAATGCAAGCAAAGATTCGTAGTTGTTGCTTGACATTGACCAAATATACCATAGTCAAGACCTGTGAAACTGATTGGATAAATCCATGCTTCGATTGTAAAACTCGACGAATTCATAAGGAGTTGCCTCGATGTGATACTTATATATTGAGAAGATGATCGAACGAGATTAATAGCAGCACCATATCCAAGAAAACTAGTCGTATATGTTGGACTTCCCACGGGATTACCATTATAATTATTGTAGAGATCAAGACCATTGTTATCAAGAGACCAGAAGGCAATTGATCCAGGCACGATCGTCGTCGTAGCAGTAGCTAAAATAGAATACAAAATAATGAGCAATAGTTTTTGAAAGCCGATCGAAGTCCCCGAAGACGATCTTACTTGCAGTAGTACTTGTTGTCGATGCTAAAAAAATATTTAAAAAAGATTATTATACCACAAGATCAATGATACAACTTATCAACATATAATTTGAAGAATTGTGAAAAATTGATTTAATTACAGATTTCTCTTTAAAGGACATCTAACGATCAAAGTCAGTTATGATTTATATCAGAATCTAGTACCTCATCTGTTCTTCAACGATTTTCAAGTATTATCTTAATTTCATCGTCTTGCAAAAAATGATTTATCATTTTGGACTCACTTGACGGCGTTGTCGTAGCAAATTTTAGAGCAAGTGGAACAGCAACTGCTCCAGCAGCCACTGTAATGAGGAGGCCAATGAGTGCTTTTTTCCAAATCCCGTTTTTCGATATCCTGGTAGAATAGATGAATATTTTATAGAAATTGAAAAGAAATCTTTGATTTTTGTCGATGTCACTAACCCAACATTATTTGTGTTGCTTGTATTACTAGGAATTTCAGACACATTGTCTAAATTAACAGTAATATCTTTCACTGTTGTTTGTGAGCTGACACTACTCTAAATGCGAAATAATTTAGCATTATAATTCGATTAAATAAATGTGGTCAAACACATATTATTGTTTATATAGTGTATTTCTCGTTCTTTTTCAGATTCGAATTAATCACATTGACAGACAAGGATCATTTTCTAGGATAAATATTAAATAGAAACAAGCTCGATGCTGAAACGATTCAATTGTACAATATTAATCTTTCGTGACATGAAAAGACAAACTAGAGTATTCATTGAACTAGAAAATTCATTTTAAGAAAAATATTTCAAAGAGAAGTCATATGTCGAGTCTGAAATAGTGATTCTAGAGGCTGTTCGAGGAGGATATTAGAAGCAGCATAGTAGAACTGAAATTAAGATTTTAATCATGAGTTTGAAATGTTAATAATCAATCAAATAATGTTCGTGTATATAATCAACTAAAAAATACGGTAGTGACTCACGAATTGACGCAAGTTATCATACCGTGCTTTCTTGCAGAGGTGCATACTGACGAGGTAAAAATGTAGCAACAGCTTGTGTACTAGTAGGCATGACTAAACGATGCTTTCCACCAAACGATGAAATCAAACAAAGTAAAAAGTGATTTTAAAGTGCATGTTCTTCTCCTTTTTGTTTTTGCTTTGTTTACTTTTGTTGCACAAGACATCTTTTTTTTTGTGCACGTACAAAAAAAACATCAGCCTGTCCATAGTTCGCCTCTGGTTAAAATTCATTTGGCAACGATGCCACATTGTATCGTAATTCAATCGCAAACGTGACAAAAATTTCTTTCCATTAAAAACACTTGAATGCATTGTGTGTATTTCATATCGCTTTAATATGTGAACATTCGAACACTTGACAGTGTTGGATCGTATGAATGGTGTGGGTTGAGAGAAGATCAACTCACATCCACATCCTAGCATGAGATAGTGATCATACAAAACTGAACTGTCTCATATTTGAACGATTACATTAGATGTCAGCACTGCAGTGACCATTGTTTCAACCATGGTCGCCAGTGCTAAGGTTCAAATCGATTGATCAATTTTTTATCTTTCTGACTTTTGTTTCAAAGTTTCTGATTAGTGAGAATGATTGATTCACACCAGTTTCATATTCATCATATCTGATTAAACTGTTTTATGAAATGCAACTGAATCTAATTTGAATTGTACGATATTTTGTCATTCGAAAAAGTCTTGAAAATTATTGAAAGGACAAAAGGAGAATCTCGAACAAGATTTGACTATTCTGTTTACGTCGTTTAATTTTCGATTAATAAATAAAAGGAAATATATACTTCAATAGGAGACTGAATACATGATGGAGTACTAGTTTTCCAGACCATTTCTATAGTCATTTGAGCTATGAAACTACGAGGAACAGATAACTTCTATATGAACAGCATTTTTTATATATCGATCTCTTTATTAAAGTGAAAGATATCAATAAGTTCTTTTATAAAGAATGTTTATTGTGTCATAATTTGTTGGTTTCTTTCTCTTTTTGATCGAATTACTTGATATTCATATCGAAGAAGTCGATAAATCATTTCAATAAGTTCCATAATTGAGAGAAGACTAATTCCAATCCATAGACCAGTTTGACCTCCAATATTTGATAGAACATCAACTAGACTCAACTGTGCTGATTGTGTATTATTTTCAATGTTAATTGTTTCGCGTACAAGGCTAATAGCAAGATAATTCTTATGAATCTGTTCACGCCATGTAGTTGACCAATCGGATGGCAATGGTATCGAAGATTCTTCAACAAGTGTTTTTATGTAAGACATTTGCCATTCGAGTGGTGTTAATAGTGAAGATTTTTTTAAAAGAAACTCTGTTGTTAAACATTCTTGTGGACAGTAGTCTGAATTGTTTTCATCAGATTGTACCATCATGTAGGCATCTGCAGCTTGAGTAGTACAATTATCGGTTAAATTGCAAAGAGGTGCTTCGATAATATTGTTTGTACCTGGCAAAATAATTGATCGAATTTCCCACATATAAGGATTAACACAACCACATTGCTTATACCTATAATACAGATAGATATTATTCTTATCGAAATACCAATGTTCTAGGATAACTTCTTCGAATATTGAATGGAGAAGTTTCTAAGCTGTATATCGTTTTTCACTTGGTCTAAGATTAAGAACGTTCTTCCCATTGTTTTTCGTTGACTACCTCTCAATGGATTAGTCTCTTTTCAGTGTTTTAAATTTAGAATTTTTTCTTTGGAGAGACTATCGCAGACTTCTCTTTGAAAACTCATGAATTTCGAACGTCGTGCCTTCTCGACATCCCTTCTAGTCTCATCGTGTGTTTGTCAAAGCAGAATTGCTTTTCCCGTACTCTCTCTAGGGCATTTTTTTTCCTAAGGGACTCTTTTCGAATTGTATTACTCTTATTACTGTCTGATTGGATTAGTTACCAATATAGACTCAATGGTTTATCAGGATCAATGTTTAATTGTTGGTATAGCACACACGATAGATATCAATAAACAATTATTCATAGTTGGATTTAGATTACATGAATATTTCTCAAGTTATTTTCTTTAAAAATACTTACGTAAAAGTTTGCATGACAGTTCGAAGACAAAGCAGTTGTGAATATTCATAGTCAGCTATGGGATAATTGTTCAATACAGTTTTCATCCAGAGTGGAACTTTATCCGAACATGTTGTATATGGTGCAGATAAAAAGTAACTTGTCTTCTTTTGATAGCTTAATTTATGTTTTCGTCCAGGAATTAAATTTAAACCGGACGCTTCGAGAATAGGAACTTTTCTATTATCATGTATGAGACATACTATACCAATACCTGAATAAAATTAAATTAAAATCTTTTACAAAAAAGAAACGTCTTTTGTTTACTTACCATCTACAAGATAAGGCACGTATTGATTACTATGAACATAAAGACCTAATTCAAGTCTTCCTTCACCACCATTCTCACTTGCATAGCGTATACGATTAACACTATCATTTTTCAATTTAGCATTAAATGTATAGCAGAGTCCATAGGTTGATGTTGTAAATGAAATGAAATCTGATGCTGAACAACTTTGACCATTGTAAGAACATGTCTGGAGCATTGAAGATAATGGATAAAAAAATGGATCCATTGATTCATTTCTATTCAATTTATATTGTACAAAACTTGAAATATACATAGCTTGAAGTGCAGACAATGTTGTTGTATCATTTGTATTTGTCAAATTCAATGTATTTGTATAATTTATGAAAGGTTCAATAAATTGATCAAAACGAATTGCTCCCATATTACAAAAACTAAATGCTGGAAAATATTGTGGCCATTCAGGAACAATATTTACATCTAATTGTGTTGGATATTCAAGATAGGCTAAAATTGCTTTTATAACAAGATAGAGCATAAGACCAGTACAAATTAATAATGAAATCAACCAAAATAGACAATTATGTAAACTTTCACTGCGAGCAATACCCGGTAAACCATGTGTGGATGTGTTCAAACAGAATTCATGAATGATTGAACTTCGACGAGATTTATTCTTTTCCTTTTCTGCTTCTAGTAGATTGTCTATCGACAAATGTCCAACTGTTGTCGATATTGTTTCTGAACACAAAAAAAAATAGTAGTACTCATATATATGATAAAAACATATTTCATATAGATGCTAAACTGGAAGTTATCTTTTATGAAATGCCAATCAATCAGTTATAGTATACATTTATTATTCAACTTTTCTATCACATCTTACCTTTATTATTCGACATATGTAGACTTGAAATAAATCTTGGTTTGTTTTACTTCTTGTTTCTCTCGAGTATTCTAACGTAAAAGAAAACTAGAAGAGTAATTAGTGAAATGATTCTAGGAAAGTAGAATATTTTCTTTTGTTGAACTGTGTAAATACTCATTACCAGTTGAATGTTTACTAAAAAGAAAAAAAAATGAAACAATCGGAGAAGGTAGTAGAGTTCTCATGTCTAACAATTCATTATTTAATTAATGTTTTGCGTCGAAGAAAAATCTTGTAAACATAATAATCGATAAAAGAAATACTTTGTAGATTTTACTGTTGAAATGTATGTCATTCGTACTCATCAACTTTGATCGAAAGTATCGTTAGAAAAGATTTACGAGGAAACATTCTCAGATATCCGTTCGCATTTGAGTAGGAATAATAAATTATTATTATTATTAATAACAATGACAATAACTTCTCATTAGGAGTTATGTTTTCTTTATGTATAGTTGTACTCATGTGGAAAATAATGTGAAAGTTTAAGCTCAAATAACTGTGGAACGCTAATTTATCGTCAATATTAATAACTATACTTTTCAATTATGAAGCATTTAAAAGTGTACTACGAGATTATTGCTTACTATTCGAAAAGCTTCAGTCTTATATCTTGTAATTATAAGGAATAATGTAATTATTGACATTGCAAATCATATTAACATTGATGATAACTGATCTTCGCAAGACCCTTTCAGCTGAAATTTTCACATTATCTTCCATGTGAACATAACAAAGTACATGTCCAACTTGAAACTTGAATAATTGAATTCAAGTTTGACACTACTGATTGTTAATCAATCATCTTTATTCAAACTCATCCGACGACGATATACGTATGTGCATCAATAGCTCGAGAACATTTCCAAATACATCTGAATTATGCTCGAGTTCACTTGCAATTCATCGCTGAATACCAAGAAAAGAATAAATGTATTCATCATTAGAATAAAGCAAATGATATGATTAAAATAACATGTGAATACAATTAAAATCATCTTACAATCGACATTCACATACCGGAAATCATTCGGGTATTATGCTATTCGTGGATGGCTTCTTTCTGTATGGTTTTTTTGTCGTGCATTGCTTTATCATGAGACTTCTTAGAGTCTTCTTGTCTGATTCTATGAATGAAATTTTTCGAAAATCACTTTTTTTCAAGTGGATAAATCCACACTCACAATGATAATGCAAAAACTATATACATGTATGTTTATTCATATTATATCAAAGCTATAGCTTTTCATTACACTAAATAATTAGTGAACAACATTTGCTCTCAACATCATTGTCACAGGAATTCCTTGCGCCTTCAATAAGTGTAAAGTTACGCTCTGAGACAACTCTCATCGACTTATTCGTTTGTTCTTGTTTGTATTCGATAGAATTATGATATATGAGGTATGATTGATTTCATATAGCAATATTAGATTTCAAAAAAAGAAGACTTTCAAGTCATGGTAAGCGCTATCTAATAGTCTCTCTCTTGCCACAGTGTTCAGTACGCTGCACGGCAAATAGCAGCCGCCTTGGACGCATGTTGGTCGTATCGTAAAGGAAATGCCGATCTCTGCACCTTCTGTGCAGCCGTGCCGACGCTGACATTCTGCCATCCACTGACTTTTTTGAGAGCGGCATAGAACTTGCCAGCACTGGTTTTAGGGTCCATACAATCTTTCACACTTCCCCAATATATTGGTCGCTGTTGAAAGATACCTACGCTGTCATGGTCGGATCCTAGTATGTAGAAGAATGAATCAATCAATCAAGACAATAGAATCTCTCATTGTGACTTACCGACGGCATCATGAGGGTATTTATAGGATTCAGGAAGTTTTGAGTTGGCATAAACACGAATATTGGATTCGACAATGGCAGTGACTATGGCTACCTCACAGCCCCGTATCGGGAGTCCATAGTCACGAGCGGTCTTGGCAATGATGCGAGCGTATTTGGACTGAGTTGCGTCGAGACCTGGTAGATTACCACTACTGCTGCCGCCACTGTTACTAGTACAGCATTGAACATGATTAGGGCCTGGACATAGATTGGCTGGATCAGAGCTTCCGCTACAGGTTGCAGTCGGCTGACACGTGCCGCCAACACCTTTACTGTTCGTGCAAGTACGATAGGTGCAGCACTATAATGACAACAAAAATATTAATGAAACGATGAACACTAATATTAAATATCTATACTTGAATAGAATTGTCACCTGGACAGAGATTGGCAGGATCCGATGACCCACCATTGGTTTTGCATTTGCTGGTGCTAATACATTCTCCACGACGACCATTCGTAGCTGTACAGAATCCGTATTGTGCAAAAGTAGCGGAAGGAAGAAGACTAGCAAAGATCATAAGTAAAAGCATGCCAAACCGTTTCATTGTACTGATGTATGCAAACCACTTTGAACTGCGATAAGATCTGAAATACATGAAAGAACAGGGTGGTAAATGAGTAACTCGAGAAGTACATAAAATATTCCTGCAGAACTTAGTTTGATAGCAGTATAGAAGAATAGAAACAAAAAGAACCGACAGCGATTGTTGAAAACCTGTCAGTACTAATAATTGCCACGAATCACTCAGTAAACAGTAAATTTTTTGTTATCAATTACCGAATAACCGATCAGTAGATAGTAACTGCTCGGTTCCTAGTTATCCAGTAACATAATCGTATCTTCTCTATTTCCATCTCCTTCGATGTACAAAAGCTAGAAACAAAAAAAATACCAAGAATGTAATAAGAAAGACGAATACGATGGGAATTATATATATCTGCGTTGATAAATGAAAAATGAAAAATATAAAACAAAAATAGATTGTGAAGCGAGAAGGGTGGGAATATTTGGATTTAAGTTTCCATCTGTTCGATCAATCGAAAATTAATAAAATAAAGATAACGCAATGTGAGATCTGGTCAAAAATATTGCAATAAGTATCAAGTAGACATGATTAGTTACCATTACCTGACGGATACGTTCACCATCAGATCTAGGAGAAATTATCCGGAGAGTATTCAAAAACTTTGGATGCCGTCGAATGGGTGGACATCGGTCTTTTCAACGAGCTATTTTTCAATTGTCTTCTATGTCATCGCTTCTTTACTCTATCAGCAAGGATCTTTCGCCAACACAAGACTTACACTAGTATCAAGTTTGAGATTATGAGATAAGCAAAAGTTTATATTTCTACTATTTACAGAGTTGGTATACGGATCGTCTGATTGCTTATGCACAAAGTGAATTTTCGTTGTTTTGCAATCGATTGTTTTTTCTTCGTTCAGTCAATTTTGAGTAACATTGTTTTAGATCTTTTATTCTGAGATTACATGATATTAAACATGCCCAATCATAAATCATAAAATTACGTATGATCTCAGCTTGCTCTCGATTCTATGAGAACGGAAAGTTATTTCTTCTTTTGTTCTGGTTTTTTAAGAACCAAATTGAACAAACAAACCTTTATAATCCGATAGGTTTAATTTAATAATATAAAATAACTTCAATCATTTTCATTTCGATAGCATTTCAGATTGTTTGATGGTTTTTCTTTCTTATGATCTAATTGAATAAAATTATTTCAGTATACTTTTCACCCTTTTTTTTTACATGACAACATTCCAGATTGGATCTCGGTTTTTAAGGAACCAATTTCATTATCATCTTATTCACGAGCAGAAACATATACCCAGTAAATACATGGAAGAGTGTGGGTGAGTATACGTGTGGATGTGCATGAATACAATTGTAACCCACACCCACACCCTTTTCTTTATTATTTATTATTAAATGTATTCACCGAATTAAAACAAATAATACTTATTCATCGTTTTATCTTTAGATAATAAAAATTCAACAATGGATTTTGCAGTTTCTAAATTTGAGTTTTACGATATACTTCAAACTGAATATGGCTTTGATGATATCATATCTGTTAATACTTTGCCAGGTGGCTATATTGAAGAGGAAACCTGGTTAGTTTGTCTCAAATTGAATAGAAAATATGTGGTAAAAATAATTGATTATCGATTTAATATTGATCATCTGAAAACTATTCTCAACTTTCAAAATTATCTTTATTCGAATCTAAATTATCCGTGTTCATTGATTGTTTCGACATTGAGCTCAAAACTTGTTGTTCAAATCGACAATGATCATTATCTTTTCATACAAACATTTCTCGATGGTCATGTACCATCTTTGATCGAGCTTGACGAATCCTATTTAATGAAAATGGGCACTTTACTTGGACAATGGCGTCTAGCATCACGAACTTTTATGTCCATAATACCTTCTACAAATATAGAGAAACGAGAATTAACAGATCAGTGGTGGATAGAACAGTTTGATCGTCTTTCTCTATGTAAACATCTCGAGAAAATCGATATCGACTATCTTCGTTTGATACTATTTGAATGTCGAGAGAGATTGAACGGAAAAATCGATCAATTAGAACAAGGTCTAATTCATAATGATTTTCAACCGAGTAATACACTTTGTACTAATGATGATCGTCAAGTCTACGTAATTGATTTTGGTGAAGCTTGCTATGCTCCTTTGATTGTTGACTTGGCTACAGCTCTCTTTCTATTGCTTACTAATGGTATTGACGATGATAAAAGATTGAATATATTTCTTGTATCATATCAAAATCTAATTCGATTAGATCGACATGAAATTGAACTTCTCGATATTGTTGTTCGTCTCAAATTGACTACCAATTTCATTGGTGATTGTGCTAATGTTAAATCAAAAGAAGAATACGATCATTCATCATGGCTTCAATCATGTTCAAAATGGATTGATATTCTTCATCAAGAGAAACGCAATCTATTTCAAACAATGCTGTGTAATAAATGACTGATTATAACAGAACAGATTATTGAGTCTGCTTGGCAAAAATAGACTGAAATATTAGCAACGAAATTATGATTAAGTAGAGAATAATTAATGTTACAGCATTCTGTGGTCAATCGAAATTCTCGATAACTACCGTTATTTTTATCATTTACTTTATTTTTTTTTTGCTTGTACGTTAACGTATGTGATTCTGACATTGATGAACTTTTCATCAAGTTATTTGACTCTTCTCTAAAACTGATTAATGATAACATAAATAGTAAGCTAAAAAGTATGACAACGCACAAAGTAGTGTGGGTAGGTGTGGGTAGGTGTCGGTTGTCTATGCAGTCACATCCAAAACCTTTATCATTTATATTGTCTCGAAAGAGAGACTATTAATATGCATAAAGAGTAGTTGTATATGTCGACTACTATATGCGCATCTATGTAAAATGATCAATTGATGACATACATGTCTTTGCTCATTTGTAATTTCACATAAAGAAACACATGGTCAGCTGTCACATTAATGTTTCAACCCTAGGTGCAGTTCTTTTTCCATTAAGTTGTTCTCAAGTTTCATTCAGTTTCTATTTAGAATAAGTTTTCCGTATTTTGATCATTGTCTTCATATATCTATGTATACCTGAGCAAGCATAAAAACACTATTTTTTCTTTTCTTTTCTGTTTTCCTTGTATCTAAATTATTTGATTGGTTAATTTCTATTGGTTGATGATAATCTTTGTCCTCAAACAAAGAACACTTATGGAAAAGGAAGAAAAGAACGTAAATTATATTCATTTATAATAACATCACTCGTCTCTTCCAGAACGACACAGAACATTTTACATTATATACGAAAAGGTAATGATGAAAAAACGATTCTCTAATTTTGAGTAAACTTAGTTGAGAATTTTTGTTTCCAATAAATTATTTATTAGTATAATCCATTTCTTCTCTTATATCTCTCTGTTTTAAATAGGCGAGACTTGAAATTTATTCTTAACAAAATGATGAAACCTATTTCATACACTGTATCAATGAGTTGAGAATCTAGAATGCTTAATAAATAGCTTTGTCATCCATTCATTAATGAAATATTTTATTGAGACGTTCTCTTTTTTTAGGCAGCTACTGTAGTCTATTATCTGAATTAAATTGAAAAAGCTTGGTACATCATTTGTTTATGATCAGAATATGCTGTACTTTATGATTTAAAATATTTTCTAGAATTGCCCTCGTATCTATCTAACACAATCGCGTCATTTTTTTTTCGTCATATTCTGGATTCTTAATTCTGAAATAGACTCTGTTGTTTCATTTAACGATTTATAGATTCCAAGTAAAACAAAATCATATTAGTTTTCGTTTCTATAGCAGCATTTAAGAAGGGAGAGATCCACATTCTTTCTGAGAATGTCTTCTAAATTGGAGTGTGATTGTTTGCATAAAAGATATCTAGAGAATATACCGAACCTGATATGCAGCAAGGACAGAAATAAAAACCTAGGTAGAAATTGCAACGGAAAATGGATTTCGGGTAAGGCATTAAAATTTCCTGTCTGAGAGTGTATGTGCGGATTTGTTAAATAAGAAAAAGAGGCAAAACTCCTAAGAGGTAATTTTTTTTTGTCTTCTAGATATGCCTGAAGTAGGACTGTGTGCTGATGAGGCATGTACCAATGAAAAGAAGCAACTGTACGAATGTCACTGTTGTATCCGTTTCATCTGTCTACATCATTTGATCGAACACGATGAAAAAGCGACATTAAACAAACAACGATTACAAATATATGCCGTTCAATTGACATCTGTTTTATCTACACTCGAAATGATAATCGAGGAAAATATGCGTATAACTGAACAACATAAGATACTATTGGAAAAAGCAAAGGTTGCACTTGCTATTTCGTCATCGGCTGATGAAATGCAGAGTATTCTCGATCAAGTATATACAACTATTGCAGCAAATCAAAAGAGTAAAATTTCTGAACGAAAATTTCATGTTGAACTCTCTCTTTTGTAGATGAAGTGGTAGTTAAAGTAGAATCATCACTGGCAGAAAACTATTCAATAGTTGGTCAGTTCGATTTCATTTCAGACTATGGATCAACTTCGATCTTTTTTTTTTTTGTTTTTCCAGCTACGAATGATTCATGTCAATATTCATCAGTTGATTCAACGCTTATTCACAATGAACCAACGTCTGAAAATGGTGAAAGAGAAGTTTTAGCTGAATATCATTGAAGTTTGATTTGAACATTTAGATGAGTCGATACTTTGCAATGCTCAACAAGAATTACAGTAGTCATTATTTTTTTTTTCTTTTTGTTCATTTCGATGTTTGAATCGTTTAGATCATCCAATCTCGACGAGTCAAGTCAAACAAGTAAGTCTCAATCCAAACATAAGATTTTCTTATCTAATTCTTGAAGTTAACCATAATTCAATGGATATCGATGATAACTCCACACAAATGTATCGTTTCAAGTAAGTTTTCTGCTGAATCATTATAATATTTTAAAAATATTTTATTTTAGTCGACCAGTAGATAATACAAAGGTAAAGCAAAGTGATGATAGACCACCTTGATAATCGTGAATTATAAACAGTCATAGTCTAAAGAAAAAAAAATTTTTTAGGATGAAGCCGACAATGAAATAAAACAAATACCAATCTCGACAATAATCCATTATTGTGGACTATGTCCATTGACATTTGATGGTGCATTTGGTCTCACCAAAACAAAGCTTTTAACTCGTCTATGCAGCAGTCAAATAGTTCGTCAAAGAATCTTATATCCTCATTTTATACATGTCCATTCTATGGGAGCCAATTATGCTAAACGCTTAGTCAAGGCTATCATAGAAGGTCAAGATCCAAAGACGACAAAACTGTTTAGTGATGATGAAGACATTTTCAACAAAAAATGATAAATTAGTATGCTCGTACAACGAACCGATTCCGATGTCATCCGAAGCAAATATCAAACACATCGTGTTACTTTCGGTCGATGAATCTCAAATACTTCATTTCGCATCTCATAACAGTATATCCGGCGATTGAAAACATAGTTGATGGTTACAAATTAGATCCAACAACGATTGTATTCGACAAGGACGAGAATATTATGCAAGAAGACTATCTCAAAAGAGGATGAATTATATATCTCAGATAACCAAAGATCTTTCCTTTATACTTGTTATTGTAATATCTCCAATTTATTTTTCTTTTTTTTTTTTTTTAAATATATCTCATGTGTGTAAATGATATTAAATCCTACAATTGATTAATTTGACCAATGCGATGATCGATCAAATTAAGAAACATAGTAGAAATTTATTATTAATTAATTATATTCAATCCGGTTGATTATGTTTAATTCTAATAGAGATCTAATGTGAGTGATCGATGATGAAGAGAGAAAAGAATTGATGTGCATTATTGATCGAATTCATTTCTTTTTCGAACTTTCTAGGCTATCACGTTAGTTTTTTTTCTTGCTTTTCACTTGACAGAATACCTTCAAGCGATGAGAAATTTCACTGAAAATTTTCCAGCTTGTAGAAGTAACCAAATAAGCAGCAGATCAATAACCGGCTGAAGAGAAAATGAACCCGAGCAATATTCATGACTATAGTATAATTTAGAAATTTTTACTTTGACAAAAATAACATAATATCGTATGAAAAAAAAGAATAAAAGGGCAACTAAATGATTCATTTTTAAAATAAATCATTTAGTTGTTCTTTTATTCTTTTTTTTCATTTGATATTGTTAATTATCCATTTATTTTTTGTTCTAAAAATAACACAAGTATTATCACATTCAAATGAGTAATTGATGTATCTTGTCGTTAAAAACAGCTTCAAATTGTTGCTCACAAAGAATTCTCTCAGCAAACATATTACCATCGATTCACTGGAACACGGTGATACAACTTCATACTTTTGTTGGCATGTGTGGATGGGTATAGTTTCTGAATTCGTCAGCCACTGACGAGTGCTTTAATATATCAGTAAATTTTTGCGTTGCTGAACTTAAGAATGAATGCTAATTATTTTTTTTTAAACGATTTTGTAAACATTTATTGAAGAAATTTTGAACAAAGGAAAACTTGAAAAACAATATGGAATTTATGTTCTATAACCTTTATTATTTTTCGTAAACAAAGTTTTGAGTTTCGTAAAAGAATCCAACACTAGGTGTCTTTCGCTAGTTCTTTTTGTATTAACTAACAATTGAAGATCATGCACCGACAAATTAAGAAGATTGTTCATAGTCGAATCAAATGAATGCTCTCGCTCACAGACCAACTAATTTAAAACATGAGCTGCCAATAGCGTACACAGATCGAGATGTTTAAATTTTAAGATATTTACAGTTTGTCATGTCCTCATAGTACGAAATTTAATCAACCTTTAATTTTCTTTTTCCATTATGGTTGGATGGAACACAACTATTTACATAAGGAGAAGTAATATTACACACATTCAAGAGCAATTTGATAGCAATTAAGATTTTGTTGTTGATTACTCTTATAATTCAAAAAATGTTACCTTAGACTTCGTAGAATTTGTTTTTTAATATGCGTGATATTGTTTTTTTCTTATGTAAATGGTCCTGTTCCATCCAACCATGACCAAAAAAAAAACGAACCGTTGATGAAATTTAGTAGTGTGTACACATAACAAACTGTAAACTTCTCTGAAACTCGAATACCTCGGTGTGTGTACTCTATTGGCAGCTCATATTTTTAATTAGTTGGTTTGACAGTGAGAGCATTCATTTAATCTAACTACGATCAATCTTCTTACCTTACAGTATACGATCTTTTACTCTAAGCGATATAATGTTTATATTGTCTTTCTTTACTATGAAATACTTTTGGAAACAAAGTATGAATCGATAAACAAACAAAAAAAGTAAAGTCTTTTGTGCAAGTATGTCAACATGATAGCCCTTGGTTTGCAAAAAGTTACTCTTTCTGATTAATGTCCGATTTCGGAAAAAAATTCTGATTTTGAAAAGAAGAATTTCTAATTTTTAAGTTTTTCATCTAGCAACCTTGGAACAAGCAAAAAGTTCATGTGTGATTCAGATAGAAGAAAAAAAAATAGAGTTACTATCTAATTCAAAAATAAATAAACAATTCTGAAAAAGTAAAATTTCAACAGGCAATGAAATGGGCAATTATCCATTTGGCCCTCCCTTGGCTACGCCGCTGTCTTAGTCGCCATTCAATTAAGACTACTTTGAATAATTGACTAACCATTTCTATTCTGGTCATTTCGACTCATGGGAATGTTTTTGTTAAGTGTTTTTTATTATCAAAGGTCAAAGAAAAAGAATACATATATATAATTACAATAACACGACAAAAGAAAATAAATGAAACAGTTGGTACTTAGGTAAATCATGTTTTTTTTTCTCTCTGGTTTTTAGCAATACATTCTGTCGACATTACAAACCTCAGAAGAAATCAATATTGTTTTGCTTTTCTAAATGCGCAGTTATCGAAAACTGATTGTTGTTCTCTCTGTCGCCAAATATTGATTCTCATTTCTTTCAAACAAAACAGAATAAAAAAGTTCAGATCGATCAAATCAAAATATTTTGAAAATTACTGCACTGTTCTTTCATTTCTAATGGTTATGTCAACAAAATTTTTCTACTTTTTATTTTGCTGTTTCGTTCTTTGTTCGCGTTTGTATATAGATACGGTTCTTTCCAATCGGTATGCATTTCAATTTATCATGGGCAATCGATTTGTTGCTAGAAATGCCAATTCGGCAGCGTTGACTGACGAAGGTTTGTTCATCGATCAAATATTTTTCATCATGGATTGGTCTATTGATTGACTTGTTGTGATTCTAGAAATTGCTGAATTACAAAAGATTTCCAATCTCAGTGCCGATAGTAAGCAGAAAGAAAATTTGTTTTCTATTCATGTAGCATTGTTTGTTCTTTTGTAGATGTCAAGAATAATTACAAGGTAATCATAGATTATGTGTGATTTGAACTATCATCTTATATTTTTGTTCGAATGTGCTTTAGGCCTTCTTGGAAGATAACCCATTAGGTAGAATGGACAAAAAACGATTCCTTTATTGGTGCGATCTATTAAAGCCTGATTTCGATATTAAAGATGAAGTGGCTTGCGAGTATGTTTAGATGCTCGTCCGATGATTTGAGTCTTTCTTTCTATATATTTAGAAATGCATTTGCTGCATTTGATAAAAATAAAGATGGAACAATTGACTTCAAAGAATTTACTACGGCATTGACTTTCCTCGGACCAAATACTGTAGAGGCACATGTCGATCTATTTTTTCAAATGTTAGTTCGATTGAGTGCTGTAGTTTGAGGACAATCTAATATTTCCATTTTATTGAATAGGTATGATATATCCGGCGATGGCTGTTTGGATTATCAGGAACTAATAGATGCCTTCGAATCTATTGTAAGTTAATCTGAATGTTTCTTTCGAGTAGAATTCAATGAGTGCATAAATAATCATAATTGATTATTCTAGATCTATTTATTGACATTGGGGAAAAAAACAGCTCCCAAAAGTGCGAAACAGATGGCTTCAGAAGTATTTGCCATGTTTGGTCTCAATGACGATGCAAAAATAAGCAAGGAACAATTTATCGAAAGGTAGACGGAATAATTTCTTTTCTTTTTCATATGATTTTGTTCATTTCAGATGTAGAAAAAGTCCTACTCTTCGTGAGATGTGTTTCATTGAAACATGAACAATATTGACAATGAATAATCATTTTTATGTACTCCTTGTATTTTTTTATTTACCTAAACTTAAGTGTTTGAATCAAAGATAATAAATTGAATTTTCAGTAGGGTCTAAAGATATGTAAAGTCGCTTTCGATTGATCTCGATTTTGACGAACATCTGTTCCGTATTTTTGACCAATCAGTGATTTTTGATGTATTATGAAAAAACTAGTCTAAAACTACAACAGAGTTGATTCACTAATTGAATTTCAATCGACAGATGTTAATTAGAAATATTTGTATTTATCAAAGATGAACATGTTCAGAGTGAATGATAACAAGTTTTTTCTGCAGAATTGTTCGCGACGTTTAGGGTAGTTTCAGACGGGAAATCGGTCATAAAAAATACTATAGAATAAAAACATTGAATCTTATTTAATTGTCATATGATGGGTATGGAAGTAAATACATTTTTACTAGTTTTCATTCGAGATAATTCTTCTAATTTTTATATATCAATAAAAAGATGATATCATAGTCCCTATCGATGCTTGGAATTTAAACGAGAGTTGATGAAATAATTATTATCGTATCGCAAAAAATTGAATGGATACTTCATCAATGGCAAGATTGATCAAAATTTGCATTTACATAAAAACATGTTTTAAAGCGAAAATGGGACTAGGAGAGGTAACGTTTTATTATCTCATCTAACCAAACGGTGCAGCATGTTGTAATAATAAAATCTGTATTAGGTCCTCAATTAATTTAAATTTTAGATAAAAGTTATTTATAGCTGATACAAATTGGTGACAAGTATAAGCAAAACAAGAATCATACTTAGTCATTTCTGACGCCGATGGAATCAAAAATCATACGTCAATACGATAAATAAGAACTACTGACAATGAAATATTATATCAAAACAAGTTTTTATTATTGAAACATGTTAAAAGATCAATTTCTAGTTAGACATTGAATATTACATTTTAACAAAGAAAATAGAACAAAAAGATTTGCCTGTTTGATAATAATCGTAGCAGCAGATTCTAATTTTCTGTCACTCCTTTTAAGAGTTATTCTGTTTGTGATTTTCCACCCGCACTATACGGTACTCACCATGTAGGATAACCACCAATACATATTCCTCGAAGATTGAAGTCCTTTGAACAGAATCGAACTTTAAATTTAATTTATATAGTATCGTGATGTCTGTCAAGTTTCAATGCTAAGTATTTTGAGGAAAGTATTCCCAAAAAGCCTTCGAGTTGACGAAGACACATTCAGATTATTGAACATACCAAAAGCTTGGAAGAAACAATGTTTATTGCATCACTTTGACGAATAGTTTTTAACAGTCGTTTAAGGTGAAACCTGACTCAAGTTTTTTCTGAAAAGACGCACCAGGGTGGGTGTGGATGTCGGTTTGACTGTGTGTAAGGGTGTGAGTATGAGGATCTCTTCAATCACACCCACATCCTTGCTATGATCTGTAATGGGGAGGGAGGAGCCGTCAAAACTTCGACTTAAAACTTATATTCACTATTTTCTCCGAAAATATTACCGTCAAAGTTTGCTCGTATAATTCGAAATTCATTATATGGATCTATCATTAAAGAAGATAAGTTGATGAGGTTGAATTGAATAGTCAAGACATACAGAAAGAAAGATGTAGGTGTGAATGAACAGACGATATTTACTCACACCTACACCCATATCCTTTTCTTTAATTATGTTTTAGAATTTTTTTATCAGTCAACTAGAAACTTTCTCAGTTCTGATTCCTATGACAATTTTAACAATATACTGGCGACATCTCATAAGATTATTTGTACTTTTAATATACTGGGTGTACGTAAGTAAAATAGCCAATCAACATATTAGACTACTTCAGTCTTCGTCTCCCGCTTCGGTCGATTATTCTATTCTTGCTCAACTTATCATTACTATACCCTCTGCCTCTCTCATCTATTATCATGCCTTCTACTTGCTTTCTCTCTCTCACTGTGTAAATGTATATACATATGAGCGTGTCGATTAAGCAGTTTTATAGTCATTTATCTATGTATGTGAGTATGTAATGTTTTCAACAATAATCAGACACGTACTCGTATCATGCTCATGTAATATTTTATGCATCAATATTCTTTTTTTTTTTTAATATGTATTTTAGATTGAATATGTTAGGTGATACATTCTACAGTACAATTGAGTTATTATCCGTGGAACTTTGGCAAGAACTCTTTGAATATTTCACACCAAATGATTTATGGTATTCATTTCATGATTTAAATAGAAAAATTAATGCAATCATTGATCAAACAATATTATATTTGAATTTTACAAAGCAAGGTACTTATCGTTACTTTGTAAAAAATATTTTAACATTAATGAATGTTGTTAATGTTCGATCATTAAAATTTAATAAATCAAATGAAATTCGACATTTTTTCTCGAAGATTTCTCTAAATTCATTAGTTCAACTTCGTGTATTATCATTAGATTTTATGTATTCTTTTGATGGTAATTCATTTACATTCTGGAAACAACTTTCATCGTTGAAATATCTACAATCATTGAAAATTATTTTTTGGGCAAGTTCAGGATCTGTTAATTGTTGTGACGAAAAGAAATATATTATTCGTTCAATATTTAACAATAATTATTGTCCATCATTGAAATCTTTCATGATTACCACTGGTGGTATCCAACAAGGCAGGCTAACAATTCCATCATTGATTTCAACGACTACAACAACAAATATTCAAAATTTATCCATTAACTCGTTGACTTTTAATGATTTGATTAAGTTACTTCCTGCAATGCAAAATGTCAAATCATTTTGTATTGATTACGATTTAAGATATGATAATTGGTCTAATGAGCAACAACAATCAATGGTGATTGATATACCATTGCTACCTAAATGTATTGACATGAATCTAAAATTATCAGATGATATAACATTTGAACATGTTGAATATTTATTAAAACATACACAAAATTTAAAAAAATTATTTATGTGGGGATGGTATCATTTATTTGATGCAATGAAATGGGAATTTTTGTTATCAATGTATTGTTCGAAACTTATAAAATTTCATTTGATATGTAGTGGTCCAATTTGGAGTGATGAGTTCGATCAAATAATCGATAATTTTCAACAAATATATCCAACAAGACTATTTTGGATCGAACGAAATATTACAATTTCAGATGATGATGTATCCGGTCATGATTATCGTTCTGATATTGCTGTTGAATTTAATATAAAAAATAAGGTAAGTTCAATGTAAAATGCTTGTCGTATACAATATTTAATTTGAACATTTTTTTTATGAGTAATTCAGATAAGATGATTAGTTTAAAACTTCCTCTACAAATAAAGCTAAAATAGCGTCTGTCAAGTCACGTACTATATTAAGAACTATTGTAGAAAGACAGAGAATATCAATCAAAGACAAACAAAACGAACACTGAAGCTATGTATTAAGAGAACTGTTATGTCAAAGTTTGATACTGAAAAAATTGACTTCTTTTTCACTAAACTTTTATAATTAGTCATATTGCAAAGTTGATCACTATGATCTTTCGTATTCAAATGAAGATCATTTTTTTTCAGAAGTGTCATATGAGATTAGCATTTGTATTCAAATGATTCGTAATGGTTTGGCATTATTTTCATTAGAATTAATTGATACCAAGCTGATAGCATTAGTTTTAATTCTAATAGATAGATTATCAACAAATAAATCTCGGGCATATTAAGTTCGGAAATCTTCAAAACCAAATAGTTTTATTCCTTTTGACAAATAGCACTTTTAACTACGAAAACTCTTTGATTTTATCGTCAAAAATTACGAAGATGAACTCTGAAAAATATACATGTAGCTAACATATGTATTAGAATTAAAAATAGCGCTACTTTAATGCTAATAGCGTAACATTGATTAATTCTAATGCCAATCATACTAAAAAATCAAAATAAATTTTGATACTAATATTAATCTGACAACTCTATTCATCTCTTTAGTTAAAATAATCGATTTTCTTGATGTTGCATTATAGCTTTTTGCATACGATTGTGAAAGATTCTTTTCTGAAATGTTAATTAAATAGATAATATCTCAGAACTTAAATGAAGTAAAAAGTCATATTTTTTTAGAGATACGTACAGTAATACAAGGTGTAACTGTATCATAAGATTTGAGAGCAAATAAAATCAATCGTGTAACGATATCAAAAACATAAAGTGTATTATTTACTTTAGTTACAATAATATATTTCTGTTAAGATACTTTCCTCTTCACAACACAAGCTTACATTAATCATTTACTCTCCGGATACTGTTCATAACATCCGTACCGTAATCTTACGTGATGCATGCATGCTAAAGGATTGTTGATTTTACGTTTTTCAATAAAAATAAAGATCTTTAATATTTCATGAATTGTTTTTAGTAATCGTAATATTTGTAAAATAATGAAAGATCATTGCTAAAGAATAACAGAATATGAATATAGTAATAACTGAAAGTAGCTGCATTTATAGTCTTTGTTTTTCTCCTATTTTCTCTTTTTATTGTAGTCGAACAAATGTGAATAGTGATATGATGTGCTCGACTGTCAGAAAAGAAATTATTATTTTTTTCTCAGAGCTTTTGTTTTTTGTTTTTCAATATTTCATTGCTGAAATTTTTTTTTTTGATTTTTGTTATAAATTCTTCTTTGTAATTTTTTCTGTCGATTATCTATTGTCGTTATTGTTTATTCTCTAGCGAGCTATTATTTTTGTTTTTACATTAAAGAAAAAACAAATATTGTAGAACTATGGTATGTTGGTTTTCTCTTCGTTATGTTAATATAATAAAAACGTTTCTGTGCTTAGATTGAACGAAATATTCTTGTTCATTATATTATCTTGGAAGACTTACTCGTCTGGCACTAGATCTAATGAGATTAATTATCCTGTTCAATAAAGATTAAAAAATGAAACCATCAAGAACAAATATCTTATCACAAGAACTAGCAATAGTTCATTGATTTTTAGCAATTTTCGCTATATTATTGAAGATTATTTTGATGTGTTTTTTCTAGATAATAATGGAAATCAGATGATTGTTTTGAGTCTCTGTGAACGAAATTGATCGCAGAGAATAGAAACTATTTAGTCAGAGTTATGTTAAACCTTAGAGTTAATCCGAAAGACAAAACACTACTTGACACCCAGATAGAACTCGACTCATTTTTTTTTTTGGTAATTGAGTCTGCAGAAGTTCATCTCGGAATGGAAAGATGAAAACGCTTACCTAGCAGTACGTTTGATTCACTTGCTAAAAAAATTCATTTGAAAAAAGAGTTCTTATCTTTATTCATTTGTCTGATCAACCTTAGTGGGTCTGAGTGTGGATGTATCTGTGAATGTGTGTAGGTGCAATGGAATAATATATTCACATTCATACCCCACATCCAGCAAATCAGAACTACAGTATCGTTTTAGGGGTATAACATTCGCGTCTATATGGTTTTTGTCCTTGTCATATACCTGAGTCAATTGAAGAGAAAAACTACAGCATATTCTTAGTTTTCCCAATGGTTATAGATGTTTATGTACTAACAGAATGTTCGTACAAGATTAAATTTCAAAAATTATCAAAAATTAATTTTTCCTTGATCAGAATGAATTTTATTTATAACAGCGATACAGCTCAATTGCAAAGCAGATAACATAAAAAGAAAAGAGTAGAAAAATCATTCTTCATCAACTGTCAGATTGTTTTTTGTTTTTAGTGATTAGGAAAATTTTCTGAGTATGTTGCTGAATCTATTGGCATATGTGATAACAATAATGATTATGTTTTTCTATTTAAATAAGCTGCTTGATTTGGTAAAGTAAATAACCAATGGCATTGATATTTGAAGAAGAATTTGATCATTGACCAAGTTGATTTGTAATTTAACCGTCGTTGATCATTGAGTGCATGTTGTTCTTGTTTATTCAGTGATGATGATGTTTCGAATTGAGGTATATCATCATCAGTTGTGGGTCCATAAATATTTTTAACAATCATAGTCATGATCATAATAAAAATTCGTTGTACAATATTGATTTGATAAATAAATTTTTTAAGACGAGTAATTAAACTTTTTTCATTTTTTTTAAAACTTGTATTCGATGTTTATCTATGTTTTTCTCGAGATCATTATCGATATTCGGATAGGCTGGATCGTAGTTTCGTCGAATTCGTTCATGATAATCGAAAATAATTTGAAAGCGACGATCATCATAGAAATAAGGTACTCTTATAAGTAGTTTTACAAGTGAACAAAATGTTAAATCAGCTGCCGAAAATTGATTACCGACAAGATAATCATTTGTACGCAAATGATTTCCAATGTCTAAAAGAATTTGTTCTGCTTTTTCTTTTATTTATTCTTAACGCATACGATGAACTTGATATCGAGCAATTATAAAAGCAACGATGAATAGAATAAATCAACGTGAGCGAATATCATCTGGATTATTGGCCCATGGATACTTTTCACGGAGTACAAGTGACAATACATTTGGACTTTCTGTGAGTATTTGAACATAAGCAATACGATGTCCATAAAGACCTAATGTCGAATCAAGACGTAAACATGTATCAATCACTTGTTGACGTTCTTTATTTGATGATGGAAAAAGGGATAGAGATGATTGAGGATATTGAGTGTCCAAATAGAGTAAAATTGGTGTTGAATCATAATGGAATTGATTATCATCTTTATTGTTTGGATCTTCAATCATCGGCATTAGTTTAGGCGTTATTTTAGGTGCTTGTTCTAAACCTTTTGTTTTTCCGAATGGCTTATAATTTATTAATTCATAGGGAATTTCTTTCAAATCCAACGCTCAACGAACTTTATCACAGTAATGAGACCATTGTGTTGTATAGAAACGAATACGTTGTATCATCTTAAAAATATTTTGTTTCTAAAAAAAACCATAGAAGAATATCTTAATAGATACAGAGAGATAAATCTGACAGTAGCATATCAATGTGAATCTGCTACAAGCAGGGTTATAATTAGAATTGAATCCGTCCAGTTAAAATAAACTTCGACCAGTTTCAAATATGACCAAGACTTCCATCAAAAACCTGAGACAAGGGTGTGGATAATCTCTTCAAACATCCACACCCACACCCTTCGGATGATGATGACGATCAAAATCAAAATAATTTACTGAATATGAAATTTTCTACACCTATGGCATCATCGCAATTACAACTTCAATATACAACAACATCAATGGTAACAACGAATCAATGACAAGTAAATGTTATGCCACTATCAACGCTTTCACCCCGTCGGCCAGCAAAACAATCACGAGCAACATCAGCAACACCACTACGAACAACGCAGCAAGAAATTGAAATAACCGATTTAGTGACACCTGTTAAATCAACAGTTATTATTACACAAGCAAATTATACAATACGTACACTTACTCTTTACAATCAGCAACGCCGATCAATTTTACCAACATTTCCAACACTAATTTATAATCATGATCCAGATTTATTATTAGCTAAGGGTGTGGGTGTGGGTGCGTGGATGTGGGTATGCGTCTTTTCTTCACCCACACCCACCCTCTCTGTAAACTGAATTAAATGGTGTGGATATGAGTGTGGATGGATGTCTGGGTATCCATGAAAATAATACTCATACACTTTCATTAAAAAAAACGAAGTCAAGATTTAATCTTTCAAGACCCTATACATTTGCATCAGAAGATCGAAAACTAAAACCGTTAATTTTACCTTTGAAAAATAGTTTTAGATGTCCATAGAAAAAATTTATTTCAACTCAAATAGCCGATAAAAAAGCAATCATTATTCACTTTTGAATACATTCCAAGAGACAGTGTGACAAGAATATAATGTTCATTTCGACTCTTTATTTCAAAAACTTTCAGGATAAATATATAATTACTTGAGACAAAACAGTGTGCTCTGTCTGATTTTTGAGAGACACAGTTGAATTCAATCAGATACATGTGTGTTTTTTTATGATAAAAATAGAAAATACGATTAAATTATCGCGTTGAAAAACGTATATTTCATTGATTTACACAGATTCTGTTATGCGGAAAAATTCTTTCAATAAACGGACGATCGATATTATTTACTCTAAAAACTGATAAAACGACATCATTTATTATAATGAAAAATGTTGAAGCAATTTGCATAGAAATATTTTTCATCGACATTCATATTACTTAGGGATATCCAAAAGTAGTGACCAGTGCTGCCACCTTTTGAAGTCCGAAAAGCAGAAAGACAGCAGAAAGTATGTTTGTGATATGAAACTAACGGGTAGCTCGTAATAAAAGAGGATCTTAGTATTTTGTTAATATCTTAAGCGTTATCTTATCGCTCACACTTAATTTTTTCATTGAAAGATTCATCGTCTGATTCTGCAGAAATTGGTATATTTCGTTGTAAAAAATACTTATCTCTCGTTCGACGTCATCGTGATTCAAAACAAGCATTACATACAACTTTTAAAATCTCTATTTTTTTCAATTTTTTCCGAAAACATCCAGTCCCTAGATTAATTTTATTATCATTGATCGTGCCATATTCTTTATACAGCAATAAAATAAATTGTCTTCGGTACGTTGATTGAAATGAACCAATTTATCTTTTAAGTGGCGAACAAATTATACCCAAAGTAACAGGATTAATTGAGAAAATGAACATTTTGGAAGAAAATTGAAAAAAAAAGGAAGACTTTGAAAGTTGTATGTAATGCTTATTTTAAATCATGATGATATTGAAAGAGAGATAAGTGTTTTTTACAGCGAAATATACAAATTTCTGCAGAATCAGACGGTAAATCGTTCGATAAAAAAATAAAGCGTGAGCGATAAGATAACGCTTAAGATATTAACAAAATACTGAGACTCTCTTTTATTACGAGCTATCCGTTAGTTTTAAATTTTAGTGTCAGTATACTAATCACTCGCATTGTATGGCATCACAAAATTCAACTAATTAACAAATAGACAGAATCATTGAACATGTTTGCTTTTTAAGAAGTATTCTTCATCTGATTTAAGAGCTTTTGATAAATCTTTTTTACCTAATAAATATTCATCCATTACAGTGATTATCAATATTAGCTTTTTATTAGCAATGTTCAGAAAACTGTTGATGACAAACGAAAAATGTTAATTGAGACAAATCAAATTTATATTCTTTTAAAGATCATTAATATTCGACAACATTGAACTATTCTCTGTTGAAGATAATTATATTCAATTTCTGTTTTCCGGTTGAACTTCTGATGACATAATTATTACTTCAGCAACTACCACTACTTTGTGAATACCTTCTTCGCTAGTCGAGCTGTCATTATCATCTAGAGCTGTTTTTTCTGTTCCTTTTCTCTCACTAATCATATTAATTATTCATGTTCATCTAGTAAACAAACGAAAGCATGTATATGTTGATGTACATAAATTACATAAGTAATTATAATATGATAGAAAACCATAGGTAAATAATTGATTTAAAGCCAAATATATAGGTTGGTAGTTGTTTGTAGTCAGTAGAAAATAAAAATCATCTGTATCAAATAGAAAGAATTAGAATGGCAAAAAAATATCAGTAGTTTGTGATATGGGTTTTTTAATAATTATGGAAACGAAGGTATTTCAAGTGAAAAATGTTGATTGAAATAATAAATAACACCGTATCAAAAAAAGCAGAAAATTCTTGAAAAAACAGAAAAAACTTCAAAAAGCAGAAGAGGTGGCAGCTCTGGTAGTGACAGTAATACTATAATACCATATATTAAGCTTTAAGAAACTTTCTTTCTACAGTCTGACAGATGAAAGAATACTATATTTGTCTATGCTATTTAATCACACTTCAACTAATACCATGATATTAAAATTTCGATAGGAGCTGTTTTTCTATCATATGGGACTGTCATACACATGTTTTTTAATTAACTTATGAGAGAAACAGGATAGAGAGCTGCGGATTTCACTGTTCAAAAGCAGAGACGAAGATACATTGAATTGCATATTATATGTTCGCCTAGACATTATCTGGAGTTTCTTCAATCAACTTTCTAAGCATTGAAAAAAATAATTTTCTATTGCTTTACAGAAATTGTTAGAAAAGTCACTTAGAGCGGTAATTAAAATATCTATAACTCAGAAATGATTAATTCTAAACATGTTAATCTTGTGCAGTGTCTTAGACCTTTCATTGATGGTTTAAATGCATGCTTGGCAATTGAGAGTCTGCTATAAACATATAAGTATGATTAAATAGCATAGAAAATTAGAGTATTTTTGTCTCTATCAGACTGTATAGAAAGAGAGTTTCTTAAAGCATAATATATGGTATTAAAATGTTGCTGCCACTATTTCTGGATATCCCTAAATAACTCTCAAATTTCTGTGTTTTTTATGTGAACATTTTTCATGATAAAAAATTGGTATTTTAATTAAAAATCTATTCCACCTTTAACAATCTCAATTTTAACATTGATCTATAAAAATTTAAGTTGTTCTACAAGAAGATTTTTAAAATAAAGCTCAGAGAATTGATACTTTTCATCAAGAAAATCAATAAAAAAGGACGAAAAAATGCACTTGGTAAATCTCTGAAACGAATAATTACACGTACATGCAAAATTAAACAAAGTTCTTTTCTGTTTTCCAGTCATTGCCTGGAAAT